TTGCTATTGCTATTGCTATTGCTATTCTCTCTCTGGGCACAATGAATAAAACTCCACATTGGCAATTATGTTCCCTTTCCCCTTTGAGTTGTTCGCCGCCCTGAGTCCCTCCTGGAGAAGGGCGGCATACAAATAAACCGAAACTGAAACTGAAACAGGAAGGGCATCCAGCCAGTAAACACTCAGCCCAGACTTCACCCCGCAAGGGATTATGGGGTCATTAAAAGAAGATAATGACGACAGAGCCTTGGAAACCACAAGGAATTTCCCAGTCATTTCAATTTCTGTGAATTATTCAAATTTGCTTCTTCTGAGTCCCCTTCGGGGAAAAGGGCGGCATATAAGTGCAATCAATTCAATTCAATTCTCAGCGTTCTTGTCACCAGGATTAAGCTCTGCTACTCAGATAAGCTCTCCAGTGATTCTTGATTTAATTTGATGTCTACTTTCTTCTCCATCCCTTTCCCAAGCTCACATTTACGACGGTCGCAGTGTCCCGGGGTCACATGATCCCCTTTTGCGACCTCCTGACAAGCCAAGTCAATGGGGAAGCCAGATTTGCTTAAAAACCGAGTCACTAAGTTAACAACTGCAGTGATTCGCTTAACAACTGCATCGAGAAAGGTCATCTAATGGAGCAAAACTGACTTAACAACTATCTCGCTTAGTGACAGAAATGTTGGTCTCCGTTGTGGACGTACGTTGAGGAACGCCAAGCAGACTCTTAGGCCAGGAATAAGAATAAGAACTCCTGACTTCGCACTTGAAACTCTTCCCAGAGTCTTTCCAAAATGCCACCACAATTCAGCAACACATCATGACTTCCCAACAACCCGCCGTCTTTGTTCATCTCGGGGGGGTGGGGTGGGGGGGAGGCGCCTACTAGGCCTAATAGACTTATTTGGAGGGGAAACAGCCATCCATCCAATTCCACCCCGAAAACGTTCAGCTGCAAACGCGTCGGTGACAGTAACACATCACGGCTGGGGGCTCCGTGACCTTCCGAGGCGGCTGTTAATCACCCTCCGCCCGAGAAGAAGGCAGGTCTGGGCTCAGGAGCCCCGCCGTAGATTGATGCCTTCTCCCGACCCTGCTTGCCACAACTGCGGTGAGTTTGATTCACTGGGATTCTGCACATCATCGATTCCGGCAGAATTACGAGCGGAGAGCCTGTGGCGAGAGCCTCCCCCTTGGCTTCTCCATCAGGAGGATCTGGCCCCCTCAAGGGGCTGCTCTCTATCCACCGGCCGACATTTCTCTCCTCTGCGCCTCCACTGATTAAGGGCCGTAACATCCTTCCCTCTCCCTGTGCTGCAAGCTTGCTTATTTCGGATGAAAAACGAAGTAAAAGAAATAAGATTGCTTTATTTCACACAGCGTTTCGGAGCAGGCTGGCTACCTCCTGGTCTATTTGCGCCTGCCCATCCCTCAGAAATGAAACTTGAGTTTGTTTTTTCCCTTTCTGCAAACATTTCACTCAAGTGCAAATCCAAAGGATGCTGAATTTTTCTTTCTTTCAAGGTTCCCCTCGCACCTATGTGCTAGTCGTTCCCAACTCTAGGGGGAATGGTACTCATCTCTGTTTCAAAGCCGAAGAGCCAGCACTGTCCGAAGACGTCTCCGTGGTCATGTGGCTGGCATGTCTCAATGCCGAAGGCGCACGGAACGCTGTTCCCTTCCCACCAAAGGTGGTCCCTATTTTTCTACTTGCATTTTTATGTGCTTTTAAACTGCTAGGTTGGCAGAAGCTGGGGCAAGTGGCTAAGACGCTGAGATTGTCAATCAGAAAGTTTGGCAGTTTGGCGGTTCGAATCCCTAGCGCCACGTAACGGAGCGAGCTCCCGTGACTTCTCCCAGCTTCTGCCAACCTAGCAGTTCAAAAGCACATTAAAATGCAAGTAGAAAAATAGGAACCACCTTTGGTGGGAAGGGAACAGCGTTCCCTGCGCCTTCGGCATTGAGTCATGCCAGCCACATGACCACGGAGACGTCTTCGGACAGTGCTGGCTCTTCGGCTTTGAAACGGAGACGAGCACTGCCCCCTAGAGTCGGTAACGACTAGCACATATGTGCGAGGGGAACCTTTACCTTTAAATAACATAAATATAATAAT